TCTTGACTGCTGCTTCCATGGTGTTGATTGTGGATCCAAGTAAAATGAAATCTTTGACAATTTCAATTTTTTCTACATTTATTATGATGTTGCTTGTTGGTCCAGTTGTGGACCAATTTTTGTTTTCTTTATGTTGAGGGGAAACCCTGGAGACATAGTGGTTAAGAATTTGGCTGCTAACCAAAAGGTCGGCAGTTCAAATCATCAGCTGCTCCTTGGAAACCTATGGGGCAGTCCTACTCTGTCCTATAGGGTCGCTATGAGTCAGAATCGACTTGACGGCAATGGGTTTGGTTTGGCTTTTTGTTTTATGTTGAGGTGTAACCCATACTGAAGGCTGTGGTCTTTGATCTTCATCGGTAAGAGCTTCAAGTCCTCTTCACTTTCAGTAAGCAAGGTTGTGTCATCTGCATATCACAGGTTGTTAATGAGTCTTCCTTCAATCCTGATGCTGTGTTCTTCTTCATATAGTCCAGCTTCTCGGATTATCTGCTCAGCATACAGATTAAATAAGTATGGTGAAAGGACAAAACCCTGATGCACATCTTTCCTGATTTTAAACCATGCAGTATTCCCTTATTCTGTTTGAACTACTGCCTCTTGGTCTATGTACAGTTTCCTCATGAGCACAGTTTAGTGTTCTGGAATTCTCATTTTTTGCAATGTTATCCATACTTTGTTATGATCCACACAGTTGAATCCCTTTGCATTTCAGTAAAACACAGGAAAACATCTTTCTGGTATTCTCTGCTTTCAACCAAGATCCATCTGACAGCAGCAATGATATCCCTCGTTCCAAATCCTCTTCTGAATCTGGCTTGAATTACTGGCAGTTCCTTGTCAATGTACTGCTACAACCATTTTTAAATTATCTTCAGCTAAATTTTACTTGTGTACAATATTAATGATATTGTTTGATAATTTCTGCATTCTGTTGGATCATCTTTCTCTGGAATGGGCATAAATATGGATCTCTTCCAGTTGGTTGGCCAGGTAGCTGTCTTCCAAATTTCTTGGTGTAGATGAGTGAGCGCTTCCAGCGTTTCATCTGTTTGTTGAAACATCTCAATTGGTATTTCATCAATTCTTGGAGACCTGTTTTTCGCCAATGCCTTTAGTGTAGCTTGGACTTCTTTCTTCAATACCATTGATTCTTGATCATATTCTGACTCACGGCAACCCTATATAACAGAGCAGAACTGCCCCATAGGGTTTCCTAGGCTGCAATCTTTATGGGAGCAGATCGCTTTTTCTCCTGCGGAGGCAAAGCCTCTGGGGGGATTCAAACCACAGACCTGACCCTTCAGTTAGCAGCCAAACGCTTAACCATTGTGCCACCGGGTCTCCTTCCATTGTTCCCATAAGTATATTCATATTTGTCCACCCACCTGTCCTTAATTTTAATTCAGGAAATATGGTCACCATAGCTGAAGGGGTCCAAAGATGTATCCAACCCTCTCCTCACTGAGCAAATAGTCTACCAGGGCAAAGAAGACAAGAATACACCTAAGCATATATGTGTGCACTTCATGGCTTCTCTGATGCCCTTTCTGCATTGGAGACACCTGCTTGTGGGCTTCCTCAGCTGGGCTGTGAGCTTCCTGCAGGCAGGGCTGAGCCTACAATATCCCCAGAGGCTGCGCAGGGGATATGTGCTCAAAAATGCTTGTCGCACTGAGACAAAATACAAGGCAGCTGGTAGTCTGTCTGCTTAGGGAACACAGATAAAACTCCAGTGGAGGTCAGAGGAAGGGAAAAAGGAGACTTAACATTTACTGTGACCAGCTGCTATACGTACATTATCATATTCAAAGTAAAATTAAACAAATCTATGAAGCAGGCAGAGCTCTGGTGGCGCAGTGGTTAAGAGCTTGGCTGCCAACCAAAAGGTCGGCAGTTGGAATCTACCAGCCACTCCTTGGAAACTCTATAGGGTAGTTCTACTCCATCCTACAGGGTCGCTATGAGTTGGAATCGACTGGACGGTAATGGGTTTGGTTTTGGTTTTTCATGAAGTAGGCATTACTACTGCTATTTTACAAGAAAGTTTAGGTAACCTGCCCAAGTTCACCAAGCTGGTAAGTGACGGAGGCTGGCTTTGAGCTCAGTTCTCCCTGACATTTCACCACCACACTCTGCCTCCTCCCTGTTGGGAAAGACTTGGCGGAGGGGGCGTGTGAGTGGGGCTGGTTATAAAGTCACTGAGATAATACACATGCATTCTTTCATTGAATTGTTAATCGAAACAGGTTGTTGTTGTTGTTAGTACCCTCAAGTCAATCTTGACTCTTGGCAACCCCATGTGACAGAGTAGAACTGGCCCATAGGGTTTTCTAGGCTGTAATCTTTATGGGAGAAGATTGCCAGGTTTTTCTCCCGAGGAACCGCTGTGTGGGTTAGAATCACCAACCTTATAGTTTAACCGAGCACTTAACTTTTGTACCACCAGGGCTCCTTTAGCAAAGGGAAAATGATCCTGCTGAAGAGGGAGGGTTCCTTTCCACTTCTGACCAACTCCATAGAAATATAGAACCCAAAAATCCCCCAGCCCTTGACTGGCACTTCCCTCCACCACCCCTTCCTCTCCAGCACTCCCCTCCCTTGCCCTGAGGTCCAGAGTGCCACCTGCCCTGGCCAAACCCCTTGGTTACTGGAAAATACTGATGTTAGCGCACGGACAACAGCCACCAGCCTGGGAGGCAAGAAGCTGAGACCACTTATCTCACCATGATGGAATCTACTACCTTTCTCATTTCCTGCCAGCTCTATCTGCACATCTCCCTGCTGCCTTCAGCGCCCAGTTCACTCACTACTGACGCAGACTACCCCCTCCCCCATGGCGGCTGACTGAGGGTGAAGGAGACTCTCTGAGTCACACGCTCCCCCTTGCCCACCCCTTCAGCCCTAGGCCCATTGCCCTTTCCCCCAGAATCAATGAGGCATCCTATAGGACCTTGGGCGGCTCAGCCTTTCAGCCTTGTTTTCCTCATTTATAAGGTAGGGATAAAAATACGGTCTGCTTTGCCTACCTTCCTACTTAACTCACAGGGAAATGGTTAGCATGCAGAAGTGTACGTTTCAATGATTGAAAAACCAAAACTTACCAGAAAATGCAAGGCCTAACCATTATCACTGTAGCCCTGGTGGCACAGTGGTTAAAAGCTCGGCTGCTAACCAAAAGGTCGGCAGTTCGAATCCATCAGCTGCTCCTTGGAAACCCTATGGGGCAGTTCTAGTCTATCCTATAGGGTCACCATGGCAATGGGTTTTTGGTGGAAACCATTATCACTACTTCAAAGTGAGGGGCAGGGGATAGACTCTTTCCTTATTGAGACAAGACCTTGGCCCCCATCCTCCCATCCTGCCCATTCTCCCTGCAACTGCTCTGCAAGCCCCCACCCTGACCATATTTCCTCTTCCTCCTTCCTGATGCCCAGCAGGTCGGCTGTGTGCCAGGCCTGTGGGAAGCTGCCCTCTGCTGTTCACCTGATTCCCCAGCACAGCAGCCACTGCAAGTCCAGAATTTTGGACCAATATTGCCACCCAGTGCTCAACAGAAGCACTGCTGCCAAACAGATGTAGCTCAGCTTTGGTCCATATTTGGCACAGGATCTTGTGAAAACGGGAGAGGGCAGAAATCTCCCCCACGCGATTCCCGGGATCTGTATCTGGATGCACGCACATCTCCCCATGCCAGGTCAAGGCTTTCGGAGAAAACACATCTGACCATACCTCAAGCCAGGTACAAAAAGCTCCTGGGGTAGATGTGAGGGTGAGGAGGAAGGGAAGAGGGGACGCTAACTAGAGGGGTAGCTTGTCTGATTTGTAGACAGCCTTGTCTACAATTGCATATTTTATCTGAGTGTTCAAAGCCACATATCCCCTCAGCGTTTGCCCCACTGTGGCCCACTCACTGTGACCCAACCCTTGTTGTGCTTGTAAACACCTCCGGCCCACCCACAGAGCACCCACAGCATTTTCTGGTGGCAAAGAGGCAGTGATGATTTCTACGTGTCCTTTTCTTTTCATGGACCCACAGTACCATTTGGAGATGAAGTTCAACAGATAAAAGCAGGGCTTCTGACAGGAGGGAGTTGGGAGTTCCCAGAGGAAAAAGAAAACGGAAGGGAGGCCTAGCACAAGACCAAGAAGTGCAGAGAACGGAGCCAGGGCCTTCTCCCTGAGACTCTGTGACAGAGCCCCAGGAAGAGGTGATGACAAAAGAGACAGCTTCTCAAGCTTCATAAGAGGAAGTGGGCCCAAGAGAGCAGCATGGGAGGTCAGACAACGGCCAGGCAGAAGGAAAGACAGCAAACTGAGCTGCAGGGAGCTCCTGAGCCCTGCAGCCCTGGAGCCCTGCAGCCCAGGGCACAGGAAATGGGAGGCAGAGCCTCAGGCCCAAATGTGGGCCTGAGCCTCTGGCAGCGCAGGGGAGCTGGAAGAGAGAGGCGCTGAAGCCACCAAAGGAGTTTGGCTGTCAGTTCCAGGCAGCAGCCTACCTGGGCCTGGTGCGCAGGTCCCAAGCCCTGAGCAGGCACCTCAGCCAAGTGCAGGCAGTAGGGCACTGTGCCAGGCTGGGAACACATCGGTGTTTGGACTATTGCACAGACCGTGTGCAATTACCCGGCAAATGAGCATGCTCTAGGCCACAACATAGGACTCTAGGTATGGCTAGTTCCTACAACCTACCCCTACTTCCGGAGCCCCTCAAACAACACCCCCTGGCCTTCACCTAGGAAGATGTCCTGGGAGGTGGGGCTACAAAAGGAACTGACTGCCCTGGGGGGTAGGTGGAGCCCAGCACTGAGGGGGCCAAAGGGAGGCGTTTCAAGGGAGGAGCTCAGGCCAGGCTGGGGGTCGGCACTGGAAGAGGGTTTTCTCGGTTCACTCCGACTTGGCACCTTATTCTGCACAGAACTTTTTGGATGTCAGAGGGAGGAGGATACTCAGAGTGAGGTGTTGCCTTCAGTGAGGACCCTGGAATCCTCTGGGCTCAGCGGGGAGAGGGGAAGGCATCCCCTGGGCGTCTCCAGAACCCTGGCTTGGACCCTGACCAAAGAGTGCCCACCATCTCTAAGGCCTGCATCTCCCCCTCTGGGGTGCGCCCTGCCCCTCCCTGAGTCACCCCAGGGAGAGAGGGAAAAAAAGGAAGAGAGGAGAGGCATTGACCACAGAGGAAGGAAAAGGAAGCAGAGCAGAGGAGGGACAAGAGAAGCCACGCAGGAGTGGGTGACAGAGTAGAGCGGAGAGGGCAGATCTAGGGCAGATCTGGGGCAGGGGGAGTTCAAGAAAAGGCAGGCCAAGCATCTCAAGGGGTGCCCCAGGAGCAGGGCTGCGGGGGCCGGGAGCCAAGGGGGCGGGCCGGCCATGTCCCACGGGTCCTACTATGAGTGTGCGCCCAGGGGAGGCCAGCAGCCACTCGAGTTTTCAGGGGGCCGAGCAGGGCCTGGGGACCTGGGGGACATGTGTGAGCATGAGGCCTCCATTGACCTCTCTGCCTACATTGAGTCTGGGGAGGAGCAGCTCCTCTCGGACCTCTTTGCTGTGAAGCCAGCACCTGAGGCCCGAGGCCTTAAGGGCCCCGGAACGCTTGCCTTCCCCCACTACCTGCCACCTGACCCTCGGTCCTTTGCCTACCCTCCACACACCTTCAGCCAGGACAGGAAGGCATTGGGGCCTGGCATCTACAGCAGCCCAGGGAACTACGACCCCAGGGCTGTGGCCGTGAAGGAGGAACCTCGGGGGCCAGAGGGCAGCCGAGGTGCCGCCCGCAGCAGCTACAATCCCCTGCAGTACCAAGTGGCACACTGTGGGCAGACGGCCATGCACCTGCCCCCGGCCCTGGCTGCACCCAGCCAACCCCTGCGCGTCCTCAAGGTAAGAGTAGGCCAATTCTCCTCCCTGCCACCCAGGGGCTGGAAAGAGGCTAGTGTGGATGGGGGAACTTTGAGCTCTCACTAATGAGTCTGTGTTTGGTGTTTCTCTGTGAAATTGACCTACCCCAAAGCCCTCTGTTCTATCAGACTGTGACCCCCTACTTTGCTTCTCTGTGAATTCACTCCCACCCTGAACCCCATCATGTGGCTGGAAGCCAATGTGTCCTGCAGCCCCTGTGGCAAGCTGCCCTTTCCTAATCTCAGCCCTTTTCTCAGCTTCCCTGCTTCCCACTAGGCCCCCTCTTGTTTCTCAGGCACATGCTTCTAGAAGAGAAATGCCTGCTAATTGTAGAATAGGAGACTCAAGATAGAGTGAGGGAGAGTGTTCTCAGTGAGTGAGTGCATGAAAGAGAGTTTTGGTCTCAAGCAGAGGACCCTGTGTGTCTGGGCTACCATACTCCCCAGAGGCAGGACAATGACTGTTTTAACCCGGGAGAAGGCAACTGGCTCTGAATCCTATACTCCTCTGACACCCAGTTGCACTCTGGCTGCTGGGATTCCTCCCCTGCTTCCACTCTGCTTCCCTCGCCAACCCTCATCTCTCTGTCCCTCTGTGCCTTCCCCTTCAGGCCCCTCTGGCTGCTGGTGCACAGCCCTGCAGCCCCCTCCTCAAAGCGCCCTCCCCAGCTGGCCCCTCGCACAAGGGCAAGAAGGCAGTGAACAAAGACAGCCTGGAGTACCGGCTGCGGCGTGAGCGCAACAACATCGCTGTGCGCAAGAGCCGGGACAAGGCCAAGAGGCGCATCCTGGAGACACAGCAGAAGGTGCTGGAGTACATGGCAGAGAACGAGAGCCTCCGCAGCCGCGTGGAGCAGCTCACCCAGGAGCTGGACACCCTTCGTAACCTCTTCCGCCAGATCCCCGAGGCTGCCAACCTCATCAAAGGTGTGGGGGGCTGCAGCTGAGCCCAGCTGGCTGGACTGTGAGCACCAGTTCTCCTGGCCCAGCCTGACCCTGGGGAACCCCTCTCTGCTGGGGCCCTAGAGCCCCTCACAGACTGAGCAAGAGACACAAACCATGGACAAATAGCTGTGGGGTGACAAGGGAGGGTGGGCCCCAGCATAATGATTCTGTGACAATAAAATTGCACTGTGACTCGGTGCTTGGGCTGTACCCTGGACTTGTGTGTGTGTGTGTGTGTGCGTGCATGCGTGTGCATGTGTGTGTTTGCATGTGTGGCATGGGGGACTCGGAGGACAAGAAATGTATGTAGCTGGGTCTGCATACCTCTTGTTTCCACATCCAAATGAGTGTGACAGATTACAGACACTGCCTACAGCTAGCCCCCACAGCCAGGCTGTGTGTCTGTCACTCTGCTCTTCCCAGACCCTGGTCCACTTCTGTCCTTCTGGAAGCTGAAGGTAGCCCCTCCACCCCTAGGAGCTGGAACGGCCTCTGGATACTCTTCTAAGAAAGACAAGTGAGAGCATCTCAAAGGCCTGCAGGGAGATTCCAGCACCACAGAAGTCCCTTATGCAAGGGCCTGCTGACTCAGGTGCTGGTCTCTCTCACCTTGAAGTATAGGTCTGGGAGCTCCTGCCCTAGGTGACCAAAAGAAAATTCCAGATGACTGTAATATTTACGGTCCCTTAGCTCTTGATCTAGCACTAGCACTTTTCTTTCCAGTTCCACGACCTCTGTTTCGACCAGACCAACCTCCTCTGGCTCCCACCTACCCACTCCCATCTTTCTCCTTCATCCCCTGGGGTTCTGGTCCCCTAAGGCTTGAGAATCTGAGTGCCTGGGGGAGAAATCAGTAGAGAAAGTCCTTGAGATCTGATTTGTATATGAGAAAATTGATAGTGCGGAAGAGAATAACAATCTGCCTGTGTCAGGAAAACCCCAAATTCTGAGCGTTTTCTTTTTCGTAGAACTAAAGCTTAAGAGGCAGAATAGTATAGTCACTCAGTGCCTCCGTTTGAATCTCCCTCTGCTACTCAATAGCTGTGTGACCTTGAGCCAACCACTTCCGCTCTCTGTGCCTCAGTTTCCTCATCTGCAAAGCAGAAATAATAATCTTGCCTATTTCCTAGTGTTGTTCTGAGATGAGCTTGTAGATAAACAGAGCCCACACATGGTATGCATCACATGAATATTTTTGTTATTGTTCCATTTTGCTAGAGTTGAAAGGACCTCAGAGATCTCATCTAAATTCTCATTTTACAGGTGAGGAAACTGAGGCCTCAGAGAGGGGAAGGGATTTACCTGGAGTCACACAGCTGGTTAGAGGCAGAAACAAAATTAGCTCCATAAAATCACAGATCTCATGAGGTGCTGGAGGAGACCTCAGGAGATCATCTGGTGGGCTTTGCCCTCAGACCAGCAAGATAGTGTGAGCCACATTTTATAGATAAAACAGTTGAGGGCCAGAGGGGATAAGAACGTCTCTTTACACTCAGTCCCCTAGCTGTCTCAGCACAGGGAACCTGCCCCTCTACTCTGCTCCTCCCCTCAAGGATATACAGCACAGGGTAGGGTGCATGAATCATATTCAGTAAGTTATCATGAATTAATTGCCTGACAATGTCAGAGACCCCAGTGTAGACTGAGAGCTAAAGCCTTTCCTGGGCCATCAATGACTTCTAGACAACTGCTGGGAAAGCCTGAGTTAGACACCAAGGAATAACTTTCTGGATCTCCGAGTTCTCTCTCTCTCTGAACTCCACCCCCTCCCAATCTCCCAAATGTTAGAGCCTTCCCACACTTGGCGTCTTGTGTACCATGCCTACCTCATCCAGGACCCAGTCCCTTTCCTGCCTCTGCCTCAGTGTATCTCAGGCACCATCTCTCCTATGTCTGTGTCCTAGGCTCCCTTCCCCATGTCTGGTTTGGTCGGACAGATCTTGATAGATGGTTTATTCCCTCACCTGCTTAAGGCAGGTTGAGGGACTGATGGGAGTCACCTGAGTTTGGAGGGGGAGGGGACATCTCTGTGGATGCCTGGAAGAATCCTCACACCTTCCTTTCAGCCCAGGGGGCTGGGTTGCATAAGGGGGGTTAGTATAGAACATTACTAGTGACTCAATCTCCGGATTTCTTCCTCTCAGCTCAAGACCACTGCCCCTTGACTTATTTCCAAGGTTCTGGGTGATGGGTGCTGGGTTGCTTCAGCATCAGCCCCAAGCTTTTTTTCCCACAGCTCTGAATTGTGTCTGTCCCCAGCCCCCCTCTCCTGTCAGCTCCTGAGGGTGGGTGCCTGGCAGAGGCTTTCTGACTAGCACTGAGTCTGGAGAAGTGCCACACCCCCACCTACCTCTGCATAGCCCCATTGTGAGGAATCAGCACTGTGATCCCAGAATAAGGCAGAGTAGCTGAACACACCCCGATCCTTACCTCAGATCATCTAACACGGAGATGATGGGGAGCCAGAGGTCATACTTTCTGAATGAGAGCTTTTAAACTGACCTGAACTGATTTTGGCCAAAGTAATTGATTCAAGTATTTGTTGACCATTTTTTATGTCCCAGTTTCCTACTAGGTGCTGAGAATACTGTGGTGAACAAAACAAACCCAGTTCTTAGCTAAAGGGGTGTCAGAAAAAGTCAACAAACAAATGTGCTGGATGTCTTCCTTTGCCCCTCCAGTTCCCTTCTCTACCCTTTATCACCCTACCCTCTCACCCTACTCTGAACTTCCAGTGGGGTGAGGGGAGACCAGCAGCAGATTGGAGGACAGTAGGGGAGTGAAGTTAGGTGTTTATCCCCTGGCTCCCTCCCTGACAGGGCCCCGCCACACAGGATTCCCCTGCCCTTAAGGCCTGCAGGGTAAGGACTCCCCTGCTAAGTTGAGCCCAGGGCACTTCAATTCTTGTTGCTTTCCCTTAGCCCAGTCCACACCTTTAAAAAGTACCTTCATTATAAGTTCTTCATTATATGTTACCTCCATCTGAATATGCCCATTGGGAAAACAAACAGATAAGAAGGCTGTTTTAGTTGGGATGGTCAAGGAAGTCCTCTCTGAGGAGGTTACATTTAAGGTGAAGCCTAAAAAAGAGAAGGAGGAAGATGTGCCAAATGTGGGGAAGGGTGAACAGCAGGGAGAATAACTGTAAAGGTCCTGAGGTGTCTGGGTGATCAAGAAAGAGAGGAAGCTAAGTGCGCCTGGCTGAATGGAAAGGAGGTAGAGGATAAGCAAGTAAAATGCCCTCCTTGACTCCAGAACGGAGTTGCAGATGATTCTGTTTTCATCCTCTCTGCAGAGGACAGTTCTTACGAAGCTGGGGTAGGTCAGAGAACAGGCTTCCCTGCTTTTCCCCATCCCAGCCTCTCCTCTCACCTTCACCACAGCAGAGATGCTGAGAGAAAGGAGAAGGCAGAGAGAGGGAGCCCAGGCAAGAGCTCAACCTTGCCTGGAGAAGGCGTGAGGACCTGGAAGGCGTTGCTTTTGAATACCAGCAATCAAGGTCCAAACAGCACACGCATACATTCCTATTGATTTAGAATCCACGGCTCAGGTCTCAGCAGAACCGGGGACCAGGACAAGAGTCCTGAGCTGAGAGACAAGCTCTCCAGGCCACAGGGAAGCTGCAGAGGAGAAGGAAGGCTGTGGAGAGATACCGCGTAGAGGGAGGAAGCTGCCCAAGGTGAGCCTGCCAAGGTCAGTCGGTGGTGGCAGTGGCTTGTGAAAGCAGCTCCCCCTGCTCAGTGCACACCTCCCCCCACCTCCAAAGGATTGCCACATGCCTGGCCCCCAGGGCCCCCATCCCAGTGTTGCAAGATCCCCGTTGGGGTTATGGGGATGGAAAGGGGCCTCTTTACCTCCACCCCCTACCCTTCCCCAAGCCAGTGAGGGGGCTATGGGATGGAGTGGGCTGTCTAGGAGATGCTGAGGCAACAACAGGCAGAGCTGGCTGAGGTCCTGTACACCTTCACTTCAACAGGCCAGCCACTTTCCATCACCAGCCTTCAGAGGCAGACCTCTCCTCCCAGAACTCAGCATGGGCTGCTCAAAAGTGGGAGTGTTCCAACCAGGACCAACTCTTGGCTGGCCTCTGTCAGTTGCTTCTATGAGCAGGCTTGGTCTGTTCTCAGAAAAACCTCAAAGGCACATGAGAAATACCCTGAGGCTACCCCACTGAAAAAGGGTGGGTATTTTCAGAGGAAAGTGTCTGGAAAAAAAAAAAAAAGTTGTCATCTCGTTAATTCCAACCCATGAAGACCCTGAGGGTTACAAAGTAGAACTGCTCCACAGGGTTTTCTTGGCCTTTCTTCTGAGGTGCTGGGTGAGTTCGAATCGCCAACCTTTAGGTTAGTAGACCAGCACTGTTTGTACCACCAGCAACCTTAAAATGGCTGCAACTGACCATCAATTCCGACTTTGGGGGGCAGCAGAATAGTCCTAGGACCTGGAAAAGGGAAGGTGTCGTAATAGGGAGTAATCCATCTGGAGACCTCTTATCTCTACTCTTCTCTTTTGGACAGAAACAGGACTCTGAGGTAGGTAGAGGCAAGCTGTACATAGAATGAGTCCATTCCCCATACCCTGCAAGCGAAACTTCATGCTGAAGCCCCAAACTATCCAAACCCGTGTTGCCCCCCACACCTAGGGTTGTCGCCCCTGGCCAGGCCATCCAACCTTGCTGCAATCGGGACGGTTTGCAAAACGCCTGCTAGGTCCCGCTTTGTCACCATCTGAGGTTAGGACTGTGCTCAGGAGATAAGCCCAGGCCCCACCCGCCTGTCCCAGAGTGAGACTGCTGAACTGCTGCAATCAGGACGGTTTGCAAAACCTCTGCTGGCTCCAGCTCTGTCACCATCTGAGGTTAGGGCTGTGCCCTGGAGATAAAGTCTAGCCCTGCCTACCGGCCCTGCCTTCAAACCTCACACACAGCATGGCCCCAAGAAACAAAGCTTCTGCGGGAGCCCATTCAGGGTCTGGAAGCCTTGCTCAGGTGCAGCGCCAAGACCCCTTTACCCTGGTCCTCTCGTCACCTCTTCTTTCCACGTCTAGCCTCACCTCTGCACACTGCCCTCATTACCATCCTTTTCCCTCCCTCTTCTCACCTTCCATCTTCTAGCCTCACCCTTCCTCTTTCCTCACCTTCCCCCTGCCTTCTCCCCTCATTCATTCATTCATTTGCTCAAACAAACAATAACCCAAA